CCCGAATGACTCGAGAATTAAATATGCCATAAATCACGTAACGCTTAGAAATTACACTTTAAATTATTTTTTTAAAGTAGGATTATATAATAAAAAATTGCTTATTAAGAAAATGAATAGGATATTTTCCGAGAAGGATTGTTATCGCGCCCATTATTATTATTATTATTATTTTAAACATAATTTCCATGAAATTTTAACGAAACGAACGGCTTTCTTTAAAAATTGGCATAAAAACAATGAAATAGACAACGCATGTATCTAGAAATTGGGTAGAAACCGGGATGTAAAAAGCACTTAAAATTGCCGGTGATTTACTTATTGCCCGATTTGTACTTCTCGGTTTTCATTAGGTGGCCTTATAGGGAAAAAGAAGTGGCTAAATTTACGAGCCGCAACCCCATTTATTTTTATTTTCTATTCAGCAACAGAATCAGAGAGATCGAAATTTAGAAGTTGTCGAGCCAATAAATCACACGCAAGAACGATGCCTTTGGGGTTTAGTAGGTGAATCCCAGAGTAGGGATTGATTGTCAGATGCTTTTCAGCGTGCCTGGCCACTTCCTTCCTGACATTTGTCTTATCACTTAGAAACTGAATTTATAGTGTTGCGTGGCGATACGGATGCATCTGCGGAAATAAATAATTCAAAACACGGTTACGACCCGTAATATCGTAAAATTGCCTATGATTTATTACTCTCGAGCAGGTGGCGAAGTGGATCGATGAGGTAAAGAAGATCTAATTAGTAGAAATAGTTAATTTTATCGATTGAAAAGAAATTATCCGTGTTGGCACAGGAAATGTATAAAGAAAGAAATACGCGGACACCTGAGACCTAAATGTAAAAGTAAGTTGTCATCGAATTGGATCGCTTTCTAATTTGATTCTCATCTCCAGAGGTTAGCTGCTTGTAAATCGCACAAAACTGAAATTCCTTGGCGCCAAGATCTCGGGACATCATTTAATGTTATTATTTACAGCAGCCGAAATCTGCGCTTCGCTGCTACGTTTCTCCGGTTTTGCAATTATTATTATGTAAAATATTTGTTTCGACGCTGTTTACCGTAGCATTATCATAGAATACATTCTGTTTATTCCGCTGCCGCAATAACATTGTGACGACAAATATTATGATAATGCTGTAGAAATAACTTGAACGGTTTACTCTAGCGTTAACGTATCATTAATGTTCTTTATTATCATAGTTTAATAATATTTACCATAGCTTCCTCATCGGTTAAAGGGAATTTATTACATTCCTATTATCTAAAGCTTATTTTCCCTATAACACCATCATAATTTGAGGTCATAATTATGCAATTTTAAACGTTTTATCGTTCTCCAGCGATGTAGGATTAATGCGATTTTAAGATTACTTTATAGGATTATCATAAATTAAGACTCTTTTCCGTTCGTATTGTCAGTCGACGTGGAATAGTAAAAGCCCTCTCGTAACGAGTTTATTATTAGTGTTAAATATTGAATGCCAGTGTGATTGATGAAGCTAAAAGGGATCTGTAATATATATTAGAAGGAATGGAATAAAATATTAAAAACGGCTCTCTTAATACTACGTATTATGAAATGGAGGCGAAGAAACTGGTGATAAGCGTCACGAAATGGAAAAATCCGACAACACGCTTCTGAAATATTTACGAGTGTTGGCCGTGAGGTGGAGTGCTGTTTGCACTGGTTGCATCTAACTTCTCGGTTAGTTAAAGTGCAGTATTAACAACATTATCCTCCCGCAATGCGTCCCGAACGTGTGTACGAGTTACACTGGAATACGTTGCTACTAATAATCATCCCGCTCGCTAATTCGTTTCTAGGTGCATTTTAACCGTATTAAAGTATGCGCCGAGTAAATTTATCCCCATTTTCCCCTTAAGAATTCGCTTAGAACAAAGGAAAATATATAAAACAAGTTTTAATTGTGACGCGCCACCCGTAATTAAAAGTTATATATGAGATAAAGTTGGTGCAGTTGCGGTTATCGTTTCTGCTTCCTGTCTCGCTCGAATTTTGGTTAAAGACTGATTTATTATCGTTGTTACTTTAATAGATACTTTCGATCGTTATCGCTGCTTTCGACTTTATCGTTATTACGTCGTTACAACAGTGTATACACGTTGGCTTCCTTATCAACGAATTGGCTCATCTGCGGAATAAATGTCTGGCGGATTTCTAATCTGATACGGGGCGCAAAAAAGTACATTCCGTGCTGTTAAATCGAGTCGCCCTTCCGGGAAACATTGTCAAAGTTTCGTTATTGCCTTGTATCATTGGCGGTGTGCATTTACGTAAGTTTACGTATCACTCGTTAGCATTAAATCCCAATCCATTACGTTATGCTCCAGAAATGCTTATAAAATCTCGTAAAATGTATACCCGAACTGTATTATTTATTGCCACCAGCGTCTACAGAATAAAGTCCAGAGGAGAAAGCATTTTAATGGAACAAAAAAAGCATAATACTAGCGGAGAATAATACAAAAATACGTGGAAAAATTATTGGTGGTGGAATTCAAAGGAATGACTACTGTTTGCCCCGCAGGCTTCCGATGTTTATTATATTTTACTAAAACAAATTGCTCGGTTGTGTTCCCATAGTTATTTGATAGAATATACAGCTTCGTCACTTTCCATTTGTTCGTTAATATTTCGCTGTAGTATGACAAAACCGACATCTAGTTAATCAGCGCTATTTAATATATAATATCGTAGAAGCATATATAATTATAGATATTAATGATAATCAAGTAAGTAAGTGCGCTTTCGTGTTATATACGATGGCTTAAAAATAATTGCAAACGAATTCCCTCTGACGTGTCTAACGTACGTCAGACGTCATTTCCATTACGTCAACATCCTAAAACAAGTTACGTCAGGTCGGTGTTTATAGCATTTGCTACGAATCACAATACTTATAATCATCAAAATTTAAATAATAACGCGCGTGCATAATCCATGACGTATTCCCGAAAGATAAACTATTTTTGTTTTAATGATAAATATGTCCCAACAAAAATAACACTAATATATTTTTAACGAATGCCGGACGGTGCTTACCGTAATGATACGTCTGAAATATCGAATTCTAGTGAAAGATATATATATTTCTATTACGATATTTCAGACATCGATATTTACTGTAGATATACTTTTTAATTAGCAGAAACAATAAGAATTAGGCCTATATTTTTATATCTTTAAGTATCTTTCGAAGCGAATGACTTCCATATCTCATTTACCTTGTTATTTTGGTAATGCTTTCTAAGCGATATAGTTGTACTTTATTACATTGGTTTTCTCAGCTGGACGTTACTCGTATATTTGTACTGGTTTTAACCGATGCCCATACTCGAAATTTCTAAAATACTGGAGTTTAAAAAACTGTTTTCATAAATTATCACAATATAAATGTGTAGAGTAACACCTAAGAAGGAGAAAGGGGTTAAACTACTAATTGCACCTCGTATTCGCCTCCTTACCCGGTTACACACGACCCACCTTAATTAATGTATAAAAATGGCTGGCATTTTATTATTCATATAATATACATTTATTTTAGTTAATTAATTTAATTTGTTAAAAATAACACTGTAATTTTCTTTAGTTTCTTTTTCATTAAGCATATTTACGAGCGTAAAATTTCAAATAGTTCAAACGTCCTTTACAGCCTTAGTTCGAGTTATTATAATTTTCAAAGGATCATTACACGAAATTATTTATTTACTCCTGGCAATACAATCCGATGAAAATTATCTTAATAATTAAGTTTGGCGCAAGCAATTTGCTGTCTTTATACAGTTAACTTCAATAATTTTGTTATTTACGTAACGCGCATTATATTGTATTGTTATTTTAGTTTCATTATTTAGTTTACTAGCGTAACGCGCAATTACAATTTACATAACGCATGGTCGGCTATAGTTTACCTGTGGCGGTGGTTTGATATTCGACTCCTATAATTGAAATACCTTATAATAATCAAGTATAATTTATATTAATAAACTACAAATTGCTATATTCTATAGTTACGAGGTAATAGTGAATTTATAATTTTAAACTTGTGTTACATAACGGAGCCGCCAAGTTAAGAAGTTGTACTTTGATTTTTTTGTAAAGATGTAGAGAAATTTTGTTATATAATTACAATATTTTGCATATTTTAAGAATTTCCAAGAGTTAAATCTACTTATTTAATACTTTTATACTTATTTTTTTGTAGTAGAGCAAAATTTTAATAAATAATTTTTAACATTTTTACTGTTTATTACGTAATTAGCGTGATGATCATTGTAATAAAAACTAACGGTTTAAAAAGCAGGCGAGAGCGTTAAAAGAAAGCCGATATTTATTTTAGCCAAAAGTTTTAAAAAAGGCAAAAAGTAGATTTTTACAAGTAAAATTCTTTCAAGTGTCAAAAATTTAAGATTAATTTGGCAGAGTGTTTACTCCAACGAAAAAACATTCTCTCAAAATTCAATTTTTACCAAAATATTTTTAACGCTCTTCGACCAATGACGTCGTCTCGTCACATTTTACTGCTAACTCGCCTCAAACAGCGATTGCGACGTTTTCGTAAAATTTCCCAGTTTTTTCCACTTGGTAAATATATTTAAAAGAGAGCGGCCTTTACTTTTACAAAAAAGACAAAATCCCAATATCTTAGTGGAAAACCGCAACGGATAGAAACATCACCAAAGTACAGAATTGAACAGTCGATTCGATTTTTCACCAAAGGGGTGAGTCGCGCGGTTTGTTTGCGTGCTTACTTCTTTTAGATAAACACGTGACTGTATCAATTTACCTCACCTGTGCCAGACAATAGTGACGACCGGCAGCACGCGAAAAAACGAATCGACATCCATTCGAACTCCATCAGTTTTATCACAGTTGCCGACCCGCACCGACCGGAATTCCCCCTTCCGTTACCACACTTCCCGCATAAAACCGGCGTAACGTTTCGAGTGTTACGCAGTTTTGGCCGCCGTGGCGCGTTTTGCTTTATAAATAACGCGTGGCGCGTAGCCTATCGCCGGCATAGTCTAAGGCTAGAATTATGCACTGGTTAAGTTACGTTAGTGTTTATACGAGTAATTAAAGAAGTTTGACACGGTATCCGACGGCTTGTCTTTACGACTCCATCCGCCTTTCGTCGACCGAACGGCGTTTCTGGATCGATGGTGATGCGAGCGCCGACTACTAAGGTATAGGTTGGTGGGAGCGCGGCACTAGCGATGTTTGTGTGTACGCTAAACATGACAGTGTATTGTCTATGTCGCAAGTAAAGCTCACTCCGGCGATTGCGGACACTCTGATCCAGGTAAGTCTATACAATCCGGGTATCGTGGCCTAGCGGGGCACCTTCTTACCCCAGCGTAACGCTTATTAAGTGTTACCGTTTATTAAATTTTTAAAACACTTAAATATTGGGTTAAACCCCGTAGGTATTTTTAATATACGTAACTCGCTACTATCTTCGAGGTTGGGTAAAGTTGGAAGAAGACAAATTAGTTTAGTCCGAGTCTTGGCCCCTTAACCCTGATTTATTACGAGTTTTTTGATGTAATATACCGCGCCAGACGTGTCTGGTTTATTTTATTTTATTATTTTTATGATAATTCGTTGTGTTTCGTACGTCGTTGCTTCGAAAGAAAACGAGTTATAGCGGTTTTATTTCGTTAAAGCGAAAGAGTTTTCGCTGGTTTTTTGGTTAGTTTCTATTTCTAGAATGCGGGGTCGGTGTTAGATTAAAGGAAATTGGGCAATTCTGTTGGTTTTAAAAACCGCTGAAAGGGGGAATCCGACAAGATTTGAAGAATTGAATGTAACGCATGAAATATTGATGTGGGTGTGTTATTTTAAAATTTTATTAATTTTGCGTCACTAAGATTGATCCCCGCTCGGGCTACATTAAATTATTCTTACACGAATGGAAAATTTATGTTACTTGGCTGAAATCTATTCCATCATTTGAAAAATTCTTCATTTGTGCTTCCCAGTATTCCAGTAATAATAATAAATTTTTAAAGAGAAAACCGGCAAGACACTGATCTTATATTCCATGAATAATAATGTTATTTAGCCCGTTTTATTGGCTTAAATCTAAGTTTATGACATATTTTGTTAAAAATTTATCTTAACTTTTGCCAAACTCTTCTTTGTTTTGGAGAAACAATTTTGTAAATAAGATAAGTCGTTATACGCGCATTTTTAGTCTCGTTTTTGTGTGTGTAAAATAAGAGAAAAATATATTCTGACTTTCCATAAAAATTATTCGAGTTTTCATTTGTTTATTATTTTTTAAGAAGAATTTTTATGTTAAAAAAAGGAAAATAGCCGAGTGTTACAACCGAATCGGCGGTGTTTCTCTACGTGACGTTAACAAAACGAACGAGTGACAACATAAGCGTGGAAAAATAATTATAATAATTCAGAAGTATCGGATTTCTCTCGAAGTATTTACGAAGTTTAGCATGGAAAATCCCAATACTCCGGAGGACTCTTTATAGTTATCTCTAGACGTCAGGCTTTAGAATAAATAAGGAAAAAGAGAAACTTAAAATCTCTTCTCGACATTTGGATATATACAGTATTTTTTATGTTTTTTCTTTCTGCAAATCAAATATTTTTCTAAATTCTCTTTTCTATTTTTCAATTCTAAAGTCGATTCGTTGCCGAATAAATTGAAAGCTTTCTGCGCTGGTAAATACGAAACACGTAATTGTGTTGTAGCTCGGTTGCCTAGAAACAAGTTTGACAATGTTTATTATGAAAGAATCATCTTCATTTAGTCGAAATGAGTCGATATTGATTCTAATAATTCTTCAGTAAAATCCAAATTTGGAACACGACACGAATAATTACGAATCTGTAGCTGCACCGCGCTACCGACTGCTACCAGCAATAAACATTTGGCATGAAACTCGATGTAATTTCTGTATTTTAAGCGGAAATTTTTGCACCTTTTTTATAACAAAACTTTAATTTTTAATGCATTTTCTGTGTTAAAATCATAAAAAGTTATATAAATATATGCTGTTTCATTGGTGCATTTAAATAAGTAAAGTCGCTCCCGCAGTTTTTAAAAAGTTCATTTATGTCAAGAGAACGGCATAAAATATCCGATTTTGTAGTTAATGTCAAGAAAAGAAAAACTTGTAATAGACTTTGCAAATGAACCATCAAAATAATTTATATGGAATCTAAATGGAAAAAGTCTCTTTTACGAAAAACGAACTAACCGGCCTAAAGAGAATATAGCTTGGACTTTTTTTCAAAAGAATAAAAAGCGAGATGTGGATTGGTGAGAAAATAAAAAGAAAAATCTTTGGAAATAAATTTGCGGATAGATATAGAATTTAAATTTCTGTTTCAAAAAATTGCAATTGGCGAGAAGCATAAAAAGTTTTCGGAAATACACCCAAAAGGCACGGAACACATACGGAAAGTAAGGGTGATTTAACTGAACGAAATCTGTCGATTTTTAAGAGAGCGTAAATCGCTAAACTCGTCCAACAAATCAGAAAAACTAGTAAAACTTCCATTTCAAAATGGAGAAACCAACCAAAGAAATTTCTCAACCATTGTAGAAAATAGCTCAATTCTCGTATCAACTGGTGGAAAAGTCAAATCACCGTAAAAGTAGGAAATTGTCTCAATCTCAAAATTGAGCTATGCGGAAGCATCACCAACAATTGTCGCCTGGCAGGTTTGAGCAATTGGACGATATCGCGACTTTACAGCCATTTAGATATACGTATCCGTAAAGATAAATTTTCTCCATCGGGTTTATCCGAATCGGTCGAGTTATTAGATTTCGACTTTTGACCACAACGAGTCACGAGAGTCATTTTACGACTTCCTATTGTGGATATGGTAGAAATTTGATGCTCTCGATCATCGTTTACTTCGCATCAAAGATTTCCGAGTATCCGCTACGTAATATTTCTTTATTCTCCTAGGGAAAATCTTCATTAAAGATAAGAAAACCAAACCTTATCTTCGTCTCTCTCACGTACTTTACAGTACCGACCTAATGTTGTTTCTGCTTTTGCTTGTATCTTCGATAAAGAATTACTTATCGATGTTAATAATGTACGGGACATAAATATAAATATATTGGCAAAAAATTACTTTCCGCTAATTCCTGAGCGATTTTAATTATTAATCTAGTTTCGCCTTATTTAAAAATGTACGAGGTTTCCACCGCTAAACGAGTTTAAGAAGTTGAAATATTCATTAATTTTTATCACTCGGTCATCTTATTTTGAAGTAATGGATATCGTTTTTACGACTCCAGATGTTGTTAAACGTCCTTTTTGGATAATACGAGAATTTAGTTTTTCGTTCTCAATAAAAATCTCTAATTTTAGATAAGTCGAGGAAAAACGACTCGTCATCCTGTGATTAAAGTGTAAATTTATCCGTTTAGTTATACGATCCTGGGAGAAAAGTTGATAGTTAGTCGCGTAATGACGAATGCGTGTTCCGCCAATCTAGGATTAAAGTAAAAATACCATTCGAAATAATTATCACACAATGTAATTACCTGTTTTAACTTTTCAATTATCGTTGTCGCTTTCATTTTTTCAAACTTATTTTTATTTTACTTACTTTTTTAATCCGAAATACACGATTGGTTTATTCAAATGGAAATTTAACGGTTTTTAAATATGACTAAGGAAATTGATTGGATCGTTTAAAATGAAATTTAACGATTCCAAATAAATCCGTGAAACTGATTAGTCCGTTCGAATTAAGGTTATCCAATTATAAAAAATCTGCGATTTCCTCAAATGTTATCGGCTATTTCGGATCTGCTTTTCAATTTTCTGTTTGGATTCGATATAAATCGTCGTGAAATTGGATAAATGATGGAAAAAATTAGAATTATAAAGCTGCTATATTTTCACGCTTAATTTAAAAATTTTGAGATAGGATATCGTAAAAGTAACCCGCACGTATCGGATGAAGGTAGGGAATTATCGAAGAATGAAATCTTGGAAAGACGTTCGATAGGTAGACGTGTGCATGATGTACAGTACATATATGTATGCAGTCACCTGTCATCGTTTCAGTCAACAAAAGAAATATTTGCTTACGAGCGAGTGCCACTTATAATTTATCTAATCATTAGGGATTCATAGCTACTATTTTTTTTATTTAAATTAATGGGTGCTTATTGGAAAACGTCCAAATTACTTGGTCGGAATTGCTATTTTTAACTTTTACTAAAAGGATTTCTCCAGTTTTGTACATGGTTTTAATTCGGATTAGATTAATGTACAAAATATAAATCTGACTGTATAACTTTGATTTAAAAAAATTTAATTTATAAAGAAAATTAAAGCATAAAATATATAATAAACATTTAACTTAAGTCGTAACTGATTTTATTCGTTTCTTTTTATTCAATCAAATTTTCAAATTTAACTATTGAAACATTTCTTGTTATCTCTTGATATAATTTTATTTAATAAAACTTTTTTTACTTTCTTTATTACGTAAACCGAAAGAGAAATGGCAAATTGCAATATACGAGAAAAGTTAATTTACTGCGTTGAAAAATTTGATTCTTTTTTCAAGTTTTTACGTTAGGAAATTATTAACAATGTTTTTGAATTAATCTTCTGTCTATATTATGTAATGGATTTATTGATTGTAACCGGTTATTATTCAATGTAGACAGTCAGTTTTAATGAATCGAAGACCATTTATGCTAGTCGCAGTTTATACATTAAAGATTTTTCCATCCGAAAGGAGAGACGAAACATCTCGTTTAAAGAAGACCCCACGCTGAATGCGCCATAAAAAATATATGTGCATTTTCGAATAATGCATCCTAAGTATCGAACAAAAAAAGTAAAACTCCTCTACGAGTTTAAAACGGACTCGAACTGAGCGAGTTTGGCAGAAAATCCAACAGTTTCTTTTCTTTTAAATTTTAAACCAGAATTTTTGTCCATCAATTAATTCTCGTTATTACGTTCCGTAAGCCAAAATTAAACACTAATAGAATATAAAGTTTCACTCAAAATTTATTAAATTTTCCTTCTAATTTTATGAGGTGAAACAGGAGATAAGTCTTAGAATTAGAATCGGGATCTAAATAGTTTAATGATATTATTATTCATTAAGTTAAGTGTCTCTGGAGAAATTATTGCATTAGATTTTAACTCAAAACAGCCTCAGGAATGTTGTTTCGGCAATTAAAAGTTTTTAAATTTATAATTAGAATGACCATTTGACGATTTTTAACATTTTGAGACATTCTAAAAAATTGTTTTTATGAAATATAATTTAAAATATTGACGAAACGAG